AAGCCGTGGGCTGCCAGCTTTTCCAGGAGGATGCTGTGGGAGACTGTGGCAACGGCTTTTCTGAAATCGAGGTAGACCACATCCCCAGCCTTCCCCTCACCCGCTAGGTGGATCACCCAGTCATAGAAGGAGATGAGACTGGTCAGGCAGGACCTTCCTTTCCTAAACCCATGTTGGCTGGGCCTGATCCCCTGGTTGTCTTCTACATGCGGCTTGATGTCGCTCAGGGTGATCTGCTCCGTAACCTTGCCAGGCACCGAGGTCAGGCTGACAGGCCTATAGTTCCCTGGATTCTCATTCTGGCCCTTCTTAGGGATGGGCATCACATTGGCCAACCTCCAGTCATCTGGGACCTCCTCAGTAAGCCAGGATTGATGAAAAATGATAGAGCATGGCTTAGCTAGTTTGTCTGCCAGCTCCCTCAGCACCCTAGGATGAATCCCATCTGGAGCCATGGACTTGTTGGGATCCAGCTGGCAAAGCAAGTCACTAACTACCTCCTCCTGGATTACAGGAGGGGTGTTCTGTTCCCTATCCCTGTCTACCAGCTCAGGAGTCTGGCTGTCCTGAGGACAGCCAGTCTTTTTGTTAAAGATTGAGGCAAAAAGGTATTAAGTACCTCAGCCTTTTCCTTGTGTTCCGTTACTATCCTCTCCCCCTCATCCAATAAGGAGCAGAGATTTTCCCTGACCCTCCTTTTGTTATTAATGTATTTATAAAAGCACTTTTTCTGATCCGTTAGAGAGATTGGCAAATTAAGTTCTAACTGAGCTTTTGCTTCTCTAATTCTCTTTTTGCATGACCTCACAATATCTTTAAATGCTTCCTGATTCACCTGCCCCTTTTTCCAGAGTTGATACACTCTTTTTTTTTTTCTTTTTCCCCCCTGAGTTCTTGTGAGTGTTCCCGGCTCAACCACATCGGTCTTCTTCCCCAATGGCTCATTTTACAGTACATAGGGATGGCTAACTCCTGTGCCTTCATAATTTCATTCTTAAAGTAAAGCCAGCCTTCCTGGACCCCTCTGTCTTTAAGGGCCGATTCCCAAGAGATTCTTCAAACTGGCGTCCTGAATAGTGCAAAGTCAGCCCTCTGGAACTCCAAGGTAGAGGTTTTGCTGCCAACCCTCCTAACATCACCACGTACTAAAAATTCTATTGTGTCATGGTCGCTGTGGCCAAAGTGACCTCTGACCACCACATCTTTCACCAGCCCTTCCTTATTCGTAAACAGTAGGTCTAGCAGGGCACTACCCCGGTAGGCTCACCGACCAGCTGCAACAGGAAATTGTCACCCATCTGTTCCAGAAACCTCCTGGACTGCCCTCTCTCTGTTGTGTTGTACTTCCAGCAGGTATCTGGTAAGTTGAAGTTCCCCATGAGAATGTGAATGTGAGACATCTCCCAGATGTTGAAAGAATGCCTCATCAGTATCTTTATGCTGGTCAGATGGTCTGTAGCAGACTCCCACTAGGATATCAGCCTCATTGGCCTTCCCCTTTTTCCTTACCCATAAACACTCCACCTTGGTGTGCCTAACATTGAATTCTAGGCAGCCAAAGCACTCCTTAACATATAACGCTACCCCACTACCTCTCTTTCCTTCCGTATCTTTTCTAGAGCCTGTAGATATTCATTGTGGCACCCCACCTATGCGAATCATCCCACCACGTTTCTGTGATGGCAATTATATCATGGTTCCCCTGGTGTACAATAGCTCCTAATTCCTCCTGTTTATTTCCCATGCTTCAGGCATCGGCATACATGCACTTGAACTGCGGTACAGACGTTGCCGCCAACACTGGTACATCATCCCGAGTCTTATCCCTAGCAGCCCTGGTTTTGTCACATATCCACCTCAAGTGGGACGGCAGACTGAAGGCCATCCTTAGGCTCATTTCTAGTGAGCCTAGTTTTATCCCCTTCCCCCTTCAAGGCTACTTTAAAAACCTTTCGACAAGCCCTGCCAACTCCTGTGCTAGGATGCTTTTTTCCTCTTTGGGACAGATATATTCCGTCTGTCACTAGAATACCCGGTGCCATGTAAACTTCCCCATGATCAAAGAACCTGAATTTCCAACGATGGCACCGGTTTCTGAGCCTCACATTGAACAAGTGTATTTTCCACACACTTTCAGTGTGTTTCCCTTCCACTAGAGGGATTGCTGAAAACAGCACTTGTGCATCCATTCCATGTCCTAGTCAGCCCAATGCCTTAAAGTCCTTTTTTATTGCATTTGGATGTCTCTCTACAACTTCATCACTACCAACATGGACAACTAACGAGGGGTAGTAATCAGAGGGCTGCACCAGATCAGGTGGCTTCTTCTTCACATCCCTCACCAGAGCTCCAGGGAGGCAGCAGACTTCCCTGTGGGTTAGGTCTGGTCGATAGATGGGGCCTTCTGTTCCCCTCAGGAGGGAGTCGGCTACTACAGTTACCCTCCTTTTCTTCTTAATTGAGGGAGTTCTAAGGCGTGGGGGTGAGAGATAAGCCCTGGGCAATTCACTAGGTGGATCTTCATCTCCATCTCCACCTGCGAGGTCTCCAGTCCCAAAGCCCCATACCTATTATGCAAGGGCAGTTGGGAAGGTGAGGGAGATGGGTGGGAGGGTTTCTGCCTGCCTCTCCAACAAGGGACCTCTCTCCACTCCACTTTGTCCCTTAGGTGCCCTCCTTTTGCGTGGTGACAGGAGGGGAGGGGGTCCTTCAGTTGGAGTATTTCCCTGCTTAACCTTC